GTCGCACTGGGATAACTTAATTAAACAAAGAACAACCCAACAATACTCAACAATGGTATAAAAATCGTCCCCAGAGAATTGTTTGACTACTTGTGAATAGTCCCCCTGCAGAAAAACCGTGCCCGACCTGAGACCAGGCCTCGAGGAGGCCGCCCCGGCCGGCTGGTCGGGCTGGGCGTTGCAGCAGGAGGCAGGCGGGAGGGCAGAGCGTCAGCCGTCCGCCGCGAGACCCCCCGATGTCTCCGTCTGCCGCGGCCTCCCCTGGGCCTGGGGTGCGCGAGGGCGCCGCCGCAAAGCGGAACGCACGCCTCCTACTGCGCCTACCTGACCAGCCTCGAACATCTCCCTATCCCTAAGATGGGCGAGCAAACAGCGATGACAATCTCAGGGATAGGCCCTCAGAAACTGAGGGAATCCTTAAGATCGGCATCGAGGTGAGGTGATGTCAAACATAGGGATAGTGATATGTTTCAAACTGGTAACTACCGGGCATCTCCCACCAGCCCTCTGTCGGGGTGCAGGTGGTAGTGGCAGCTCCCTTCCCTCTTCCAGGAGCCCCTCTTCTCCAGCTTCGGGCCATCCTTTCGATTTGTTGCGTGTTTGGGGGCGCGAGGTGTCAGACGGCCCGCTTGGGCCCACAAATGGCCCAAGATTGCTGGAGATGGTTCACGATAACCTCCGACACCCCTGCAGGAGGCACCAAGACGGCCGGCCACAGGATGGCTCTAACAACTAAGCATCCCAAGGACCCCCCCACAGAGGCCGAACTCGAGCCAATACATAAATCCCACCAGCCCTTTAGGGCGTGAGTGGTTTTGGAAGTTTCCTCTTCCGACCCCGTTTTTCCCCCGTCGGGGGGGGTACCACTGTTGCCCATTAGTAAACACTCGGGGCTCGAATGCCCCAGGTCAATCCAGACCCGGGCCAGTCAGGCTTCGCAGAATCCTGCAAGATCATGCAAGCTCCTGCAAGATCCTGCACCCTAGCCCGAATCAATGCAACCGTGGCTCTGCAGGAAGCTGCAAGATCAGGCGCTCTGACAAACCCCCGTTTGCATTGACCCCCGTCTTTTGAGCCCCGAAACACCCCCTCCCCAGGCGACCGGGAGCCTACTTAGCAGGAACTATGCCAACACATACCCAATACATATCTGAGTACGTATCGCTGAACCGATCGCAATCCCCAGCGGCGTGGCCTGGGCCCCACTAGCCGATTTACCCCCTAGATGGGGATATAGGCCGTTCCCTTCGGGCTTCGAGGGGTGTATCCCCATTTGGAGGGGTAATTTGGTGGGGGTCTCGAAGGGGATGGGGATGGGGGATGGGGGTCGGTTAACCGATGCTTAATACCAAAAACAAAACGAAACACATGTTTGGGCAAAATCTTGGGTCATGACCGTGGGCCCCGCGAACATGCTGCATTGTCTTTTGACCGGGGCGGCGGGGGTGCCCTCATAGCGCCTGATTTCCGCAAGGCCACCATCCCTGTCAAAACACAGTACAACATTTAGGTCAGGCATGTCCCTCTACAGGGGGATGTTGGACGAAAAATAAAAAATCAGAAACATAACCTCAAAAAGCAAACCATTACTCAAATCATAGTCCCCAGACTATTGTTTTACTATGTTTGAACATTCCTCCTGTAGAGGGACAGACCCGACTTAATCCAACATGCACGTCGCGGCTAATTCTGGATCGTGCGCGGCTTCCCGCTACCCGCCCGCTGGTGTGTGACAAGGGCCGCTGGGTTGCTGGCATACTGCCTGCTGTGCGCAGGCCCCCTAGACACCAGGATGACGTCCCCGCCGGGATTGTGCACTGGTTTTCGAGTGGGGGCCGACATGGTTCCCGATGTGTGCTGTCACGCGCGCGGGTGGCGCATTCTGCACGTGCCCTGGGCGTGGCGCGCCGGCTGGACCATGCGGCACACGTGCCGCACGTAGCGCACGTGGCGCATCTGGCGCGCGAGGCGTGCCTGGCTCGCTGGGGCATTAGGAGTGTCTGGCACACCTAGAGCGCCTGGCACGCGTGGCGCACCTCGCCCCATCGCGCACATGGGCTCCGTGTTGGTTCCCAGAGGCTGCCTATCCATACGGAATCGCTGAACATGCTGAGGCCCGGGTGCTACTTCTGTGTTCAAGGGCGGGTAAGACTGAGCGGGGGCTATTGGAGCATTGCCCGTCCTTTGATCGATCTCCTCCAAGGTGGCCCCAAGATGGCCCCCGAAGCACCCAAGGGTGCACAGGAAGCCCAAAGAGGCCCCCAAGAGGCCCCCAAGATGCCCCCAGCGGCTCCCAAGAGACCCCCAAGAGGCCCCCCAAAGGCACCCAAGGCGCCCACAGAGGCCTCGGCGAGACGGCCGACCACACTAATGTTACGCAGGTCTTGGCAACAGGTTGGTCTTTTGGGCGGGGGCTAGGTCAGCCTCCGTTGATAGATCTCCTCAAAGATGGCCCCCAAGATGGCCACCAAGGCTCCCAGAGTGACCCACGACCGCACCAATGGGTGCTAAGGAGCCCCAAGAGGCCCCCACGATGCCCCCAATATGCCCCCAAGAGGCTCCCAAGACCCCCAGAGGCCCCACAGAGGACACAGAGGCCCCCACGACGCCCGGAGAGGCCCCCAGGAAACCCCAAAACGCTTCCAACAGGCTCCCAGGCGGCCTCCAAACTGCCTCCCGAGGCCCCCGACAGCCCTCCGAAGCGATCCCAAGAAGCATCCATGAGGATTCTGACCCGCCACCCAGGGCACGGTGGCAAGATGGGCCGCAGGTCACTCGATGAATTCTGGCCCAACTTGGCCTACACCGGGGTTGCACAAGCCCTGGGTAGCCAGCCTGGGGGGGCAACTCTGCGGAGCGGGCGCCGACCACTTCGACCAAATCGCTACCCCCCCCAAAAAAAAGGCTGCGGACGTTCGCCACCCAGTTACAAACCAGGTGAAACCATATGTAACCCCCTTTAGTATCCACTCATAACCCCAAAGCCCCTCAACACCCCCAGCATCGATCCAGGTAGACCCCGTCTGTCAGCTCCCCTTTTTTCTAGCCAGATCTGCCAATGCCGGCTGGACAGGGGCCAGGATCCTGGCGACAAGGCCTGCTGCGAAACCCACTGCAACGCTAGGGGTCTCCCAAATGGAGTCCGAGTGGGTGAGGTCGGAAGATCGCGCCGCATAACCGATGCATCCGGGATCCGCGATCCGTCGGCGACGTCGGCGATGCATCGGCGCCGTCGGCGTGGAGACAATCGGGCTCCACATCGAGCCACATCGCCAATGCATGGCGATGCGGTGCGATCCTGGAGACGCCCGTTCTCAGGGCTCGAGCAGGGGGTCGTCTACAGAACTGATGTGCTCCAACATCCATCCGACGAAACAAACACCTATATACATATATGTATATGTATATGTATATATATATATATATATATATATATATATGTATATACATGCAGACGCTACCTCGGCGGCCAGCCAGCGCAAGCTGAAAGGATTCAGTCCTTTACCTGTGAGCGCGCTCGAGCGGCACGAATCCATCTGAGATCGAAGTTCACCGGCTCGCCATTGCGAGCCACGATCGAGACATAAGCACAGCACCCGCTGCAGGCTATACAGAGCGGAGAAAGAGGAAAGGGTAGGGGGGGCGGGTCGGAGCCTTTAGCAAGTCGGCCGCGGAGAAACCCGCGTGCGGCCGCCTGTTCGCTCCTTCCTCGCTTCACGATGTAAAACCTGCCAGCAAGTGCAGACGCTACCTCGGCGGCCAGCCAGCGCAAGCTGAAAGGATTCAGTCTTTTACCTGTGAGCGCGCTCGAGCGGCACGAATCCATCTGAGATCGAAGTTCACCGGTTCGCCATTGCGAGCCACGATCGAGACATAAGAACAGCACCTATTTCGCCAAACGGGTTGCCTGGCCGTTAGGCCGGAGTCCCACAGGGCTTCCGTTGACATACACGCTTCTTTAGATGCCTTACGTTGGCCATGCAGAAAACGCAAGGGAACCCCCGTGCGTCACCCCCACAATGCTTAAAACATGCTGTGTTTTGCTACATTCCGCGGCGGCGAGGAGGCAGACGCCCGCCAACGCGGGCGACGCCAGCCACTACAGGAAGACAAAAACAATGCGAAAACACTGTAGTTGGCGGCACCGAGGGGGTGGCGCACGGGGAAACACTGTGTGTTTAGCAGTAGATTCAATACCTCGCCCCCGGCCGGCAGCGAACCTACCTGCACATCATGTCAGCCAATATTAATCCATGCACCTGCTCCGACGAGTGGGAGAGAACAGCCGCGGCGGCAGCGGCGAAACGAGGGGGATGCTCGGCCGCGAGGCTGGTCCACATGCGGCCTCCTGGAGCGGCGCCGGACAACTCTATGTGCGGGAGCTTCGTGCGAGAACAAAGCCCATGCTTCCCTGCGCACTTCCAACTCAAAGTCGCGAGGCTAGAGACGCTCCAACCTTGAACTCAGGTGGCCTTGCGCCACCGCGCACCATGCTGACAAAGGTGGCATGCGCTGCTGGCGGAATCGGCACCCGAGGCGAGCTTCACAAGACGCGGAGCCGCCCACAAGAGTAATGTTTGGGGGTTCTCCATCATCACAGGCACTCCCAAACTGCGGCACAGCGAGACGATGCGACAAGAGAAATGGAACGTGGCATTGCCGGTCTTGAGGCGGGCACGTTCGCTGTCGTTTAAATCGGGCACGCCCGTCGGCGACTGAAAATCACGCAAGGGCTTTCGCAGGGCCCGGGTCCACGTTGTACACGGGGTCCCCAGAACAAACGCCCAGGACGAGGCCACTCTTGAGCCATCCCGAAGTAACTTTCTCAAGCGCGCGCTCAAGATGGCCCTCCAGGGGGCCGCGCAAAACGTCGAGGGCGAGCGCGGCGAAGCCGTTGGCCCTTAAGGCCTTTGCTATTTTCCCCGCCCCAGCGAAAAGTTCCAGGAACGTGCCGCAGCGCCCGCGACGAGCAGCCCTCAACTGATCAGCGAGGCGCGCCTTCAGATGCCGCCGAACCTGCGCTGCCGAAGCTGCGGCAGCCCTGCCTCGATCAGCGCCTGCGCGGGCGCGGGCAGCTGCTGTCGCAGGCGCGGATGCTGCCGCAGGCCAGGCCCCAGCTCGACCATCTCGCGCAAGTTGGCGTGTGCGACTCTGTCCAGGACGAATGCCCACTCTGGCACCCGCGTCATGGCATCCTGCAAGTAGGCCTCCTTGGCGTACCGCTTCATGCTGCCTGGCGACGCCCAGCGCCCGTGGCGTTGCGTCTGTTCGAGCGTCCGCCGGCCCTCCAGCAAGTCCCAGCTCGCTCCGCCGCGCCGCGGCGCGTAGAGCGTCGGGTCGAGGGCCTGAAGCTGGAGCCGGCTCGCGATCTCGCGGAACTGCTCACTGAGCGCTGGCAGCGTGAGATCCCAGAGGCTCGTCTAGGGCCACCACGGCCTTCAGGCCTTCGAGCAGCGGCCAGAGGTGCAGGTCCAAGTCGATCACCACGCTCTCGTTGTACAAGTCCGTCTTGCCTGGGCGGCCTCCGCTGGTGGGATGCAGGAGGGGGGCCCAGCTCCCCGCGGAGGAGGCCGCCAAATCCGCGGGTCGGACCAGCGACAGCCCGCGCAGCCCCTGCGCCTCGAACGGTCGCAGGTAGCAGCTGAACGTAAGCAAGATCCAGATCGCCATGCGCCGGCGGCCGCTCATGGCCAGCATGCCTGCCGTCGCAGCGGCCGCGAAGCATGGCAGCGGCGCCCTCGTCATGGCGGGCGCCCTCCGCTGCCAGGCGATCGACCTTCGCGTGGCCCGAGGCAGCTGGGCCTTCCAGGGGCCCTGGAGGCCTGGCAGGAAGGGCGAGCGCAGCCAGCAGCAACGAACCTTGGCTCGAGGGCGCCCCCTGGGCGAACTGGTGGTTCAAAAACCTGGTCGCCGTGGCGTCCAGCTGCCCGAAGTCACTCCAATCCACGCGGTTCGGCTGGCAGAACGCCACGAGCTCCTCCAGCACCCTGCGGTGCTGCGACTCCGTGTTGGAGCGCACCGCCATGGTCTCCAGCGCGCTGAGCTGCCCCAGGGGCGGCCGCTCGGCCAGCGGGCGCCGGGCGAGGGCCGCGCGGCGCTCCCGCGCCTGCGACGCCGCCAGCGCCGAGCGCCGCGCGGGCCTCCACAGGACCCGCGGCTGCCCGGCCGCCAGCCGCCGCCGCGCCAGCGCGCGGGGCGGCCTGCCGCGGGGGCCGAGGGCGGCCGGCGGAGTCTGAAAACCAGGAGCGCCGCCCTCGAGAAAGAGCGTCGGCGGGGTTGCGTTCTGACGGAATCCATCTGCAGTGCAATCTCGTTCACGTTGCAAGTGGCATCGTACATGTCTTCAGAAGCGGGAGGTGCAAATAGGTAGAGGCCGCTCTCCCCTTGGCCACGGCTAGACACAACGGCACGTTATCAACGAGGGCGAAGACGCGCTTCCCACGACATGCCGAAGATCTCAAGAGGCGCATGTAAGCAACAACCAAGGCGTCGGCATCCAGACCAAAGATGTCCTGGCCCTCCTGGACCTGCGCGGCCACTACTCCTCCCCAGCATTTCGCGTCCAATAAACCAGATGGGACCTCGTCGAAGTCCCAAGATCGGCGGTTCCTCCGAGACGCCGAACGTGCCGAGGTCATGGGAGGGGTCCTTCACGGGGCTCGTCGGGCTCTGGGAGATCTCCATGGGCTCCTTCGTGGCGGGGCGTCGTCCGGCGTGCCTGGCGAAGCCGTCGCAGGCATGGCCCTCAAATCTCCATTCAGCGGATCGCCCGGCTGCAACGGAAAGGATGTGCGAAAAGAAAAGTTATTCTGCATGGGCGACGATTCGGCGATGCAAGCGGGCGCAGAAAAGGGAGGAGGGCTCTGTCTTTGGCACGCGCCCCTCCCTCGGCTGTGCGTCGCCACCGCTCGCACTGACGCCCGCAGCGGGCGATGAGGTCATTCGGAGCCTGCCGGCGGCGCACCCCGAGACCCTCTTCACTCGCGTCGCTGGCCACCAGCCGCGAAGCCCAAGGCGCCGCCAGGTCGGCGACCAGCAACAGCAGCAGACAGCGGGCGCGCCACAGCTCCGTGCGAACCGCGGGCCACAGCGACTGCGCCTCCGCGCCGGCGGCTGCCATGAAGGCGTAGGTGGCGTTGAGAATCCCTCGCGCCTCGCGCCTCGCCATCGAGGACCAGGTCAGGTGGCCGAACACGACGCGCATCAGGTGGCCCGATGCGCGCCCGCGCCGCAGCAGCTCCTCGATGGCGAACCTGAGCCGCCAGACGGACCGCCCCTTGATGGCGAGCCAGCGACCGCGCCGCAGCTCCATGCCCAAGAAACTGCAGGACTCCGCAGCCCGCTCAGGCGCGTGGACGCGCAGGCCAGCAGGCTCCAGTGCTCCAGCGATGCGGTCCAGGGCCTGGTCGACGCGCCCCTCGCCCGCGCCGACCGACAGATAGTTGTCGACGTACCCGGCGGCGGCGGGCTCAGCTTCAGCGTCAGGCCCCGAGACAACGCCCGGGAGCCCGTCCTCGATGATGAGCTGGGCAGGCACCCCTGTGCGCGCCACGGCCGTCTTCAGGGCCAGCTGGCACGAGTGGGGCGCCCAAGAGAAACCCATGGGCAGCACGACGAGGCACGCCTGCAGCCGGCCCCCGCTGGGCAGCCCTGATATGCCGCGAGCCTCCAGGTGGCGCCTGTCGATCGGCGGGAGCCTGAAGTAGCTGCAGAGACCGTCCGGCATCTTGAGGCGGTAAAACGCGTTGTCGATGTTGCCCGCGGCGATGACCACGCGGCCTCCTGGCGCCTCCAAATTGGCGAAGGCGGCGGCGCTGGGCAGCGCGGTGGCCGGTGGGTCCGAGAAGTAGGCGTTGGCCGTGCGCGTGTCAAAAATCAGTCTCAGACGGTTGCTCTTCTGTGCCACGCAGAAGACACCTATCGGCTTGATATTGGGGTCCTCCGCCTGGAAGCAGATCATCTTGCGCTTCAGCATCTGAGCAAGGAAGTCGGCGTAAGTCGCCGGCGAGAAAGAGAGGTGCGGGTCCACGTATGGCCCGCGAGGGCAAACCTGCTGCAGGAGGGCATCTGCCTCGCCCCGATCACGCAGCATCCTCGAGCTCCAGGCCCCAAGCCGCTGAGCGTCCGGGCCAGCGACGACGCTCGTGAGCGGCACGGGGTCGTCGCAGACGTCGGGCCACGAGATCTGGCCCCGCGAATAGGGCCGGCGTGGGCCTCCCGAGTTGTAAAGGGGAGAGCCCGAAAAAGGTCAGCGAGAGCTCCTTCCGGAAAACCATCATCAGCAGCAAGAGGTGCCAGGCTGGTGAAAGCAGACTGCACGCGCTCGAGAGACGCCCGCTGGCCTTCGGAGATCCCGACGGCGGACGGCTGAGCCCCAGGGGCGCACGCAACGTTCATGACGTCGATGGCGTCGTTAGCCCAGTCGTGCCAGTCCGAAGCGCCCCTCATGCGACGCTTGCCCTGGCGACCAGACCCAAAACTGTGACCACCGCCGCGCGCCCCCAAGCAAGGAGGAGGAAACAGGTCCCGCTGCCGAACAACAGATCGAGCATGACGACGGTCGGGAGGCGGCTGGCTGGCGGCTGCCGTGCCAGCCGATGGGCAGGTTGGCGGGGGTGGGCGCCCATCTCCACCCCCCGCTCCGAGGTCACTTGTCATCATTGCCGGAGCCCTTGTCGCCCTTGGCCCCTTTCTTGCGCTTGCGGGCCAAGTCGCGCTTCTCTCTGGCTTTTCGTTGCTCCTTCCTGTAGGCGTTCGTCTTAGTCAGCTCATCCTTGCAGAAGTCCTGGGGTGCTGGCGACACGCACACGTTCCCACGCAGCTGATCCGTGCCGGGCAGCACGTGCGACTCCATGCTCGTCGAGTCTACGGCGGGCGCCACGTGGTCGCGGCAGCGCTCCTCCTGAAGCTGCACCGCCCTGGCAAGCATCTCGCCCGCGGCGAGGTTCGCCACGTTGAGCTGGTCGTAGACCACCATGTATTCCAGCGTACTGCACGCTCTCTCGTCCTCTTCGACGCCGGGCTCATGCCCCTGGAGCCGCGCCTCCGAGAGCCACCGTGAGTGGCGGCCAATCGGGGTGCCACCGTGCGCCTCCATGAACTTGAGGCACCACAGCGCCGTCCTGGGGCCCCGCGCAGGCCAGTCGGGGAAGCTGCCTTCGGTCATGGCCATGACCGTCGTGCGGAAGTCCCGGTGCCGCTGGCCCTGGAGGTCGTAGGCGACCGCCTGGATCCTCGCGTCCAACGGAGCCGCCGCTACGGCTGGCGCCACGGCCGCCGGCGCAGGCGCGGCAGGGGGGGCGGCGCCCACCAACGGTGGAGGCAGGGCCGCTGGGGCCGCGGCCACTGCGCCTCCCGCTGGGGGGGGGCGCCAAGGCGTCCGCCAAGCCAGCCACGCCACCGGCCGCGCCAGCAGCGGCCGCAGCTGCTGCGCCAAGGGGCGGGGCGGCCACCAGCAGGCCAGGTGGAAGGGCTGCAGCCGCGGCTCCGCCGGCAGCCGGCGCGCCTGCAACCGCAGCAGGGGGCGCCCCGGCCGCCAGGCCTGGGCGGGGCCGAGGCCCGCCAGCCGCGCAACCAAGGTTTGGCACCACCGTCGCCCCCGCCGTGAGGCCCACGCCGAGGCGCGCAGCCGCAGCGGTCAGCACCTGCGCGATCCGCACAGGCGCAGGGACGCCGCGGAAACCGTGCACGTGCCCAGCGCCTGCCGCAGGCGGGTAGGCGCCCATGCGGCCTCCAAGGCACGGCAGCCAGCGCTGCACGTCGGCGGGCGCGTAGAGGTCCTCCTCGTAGCTGTCGTCGTCCGGGGTGAACGTGCACGCCTGGCCTCCCGCATCTGGAACCAAAATGAGGAGCCTCTCGTGCAGCACGCCTGGGAACACCGTATATTCCACCAGGAGGAAGTCACCCTCCTGCAGCCCGGCGGCCACCACAGGATGGGCAGCAGCTGCCGCCATCCTCAGCGCGTAAGCTGGGTCTTAGAAGCCCGAAGCGCCGCCACCTGGGCCGCCGCGACCTCAGGCAGGGACGAAGGCGGAGCGGGCGCTGGCAGCGCCGGCGGGGCGCGCGCTGCGGCTACCGCCGCGGGCGGGGCCGGTGCCACCGCGAAGCGCCGCGAGCAACCCCAGGTGCCCACCACCGCGGCGGCTAGGCTGATCAGCCAGACGCCGGCCACCACCGCCGCGCCTGGCGCGGCCGCTTCGGCGTGGCTGCCTCCGGGGCAGACCAGGCGCGGCTCGCACTGGCAGGAGCAAGCCGGGCAAGGCGGGGCCGCTGGGCACTGCGCGCCCCAGGCCGCGCCCCACGCCGCCGCGCCCGCAGCGAAGCCCCTGGCCGCCTCCTGCAACAGCCAGGCCGCCGGGTCCATGCGCACCATGCCGCAGAAGCCCGTGGGGCCTCGGAGCCTTGAGCCAGTCGGCCGCGGTGAAACCCGCGTGCGGCCGCCTGCTCGCTCCTTCCTCGCTTCACGATGTGAAATCTGCCATATGCTTACATGTTTTGCAGATCTGCGAACATGCTACATCTGCAAAGATATATTCCAACATTGATGTCCTCGTTGAACTGTCGGAGAAAGCGTAACATGTTCGAGAATATGCAGAAGATCCTGAGTGTTTGTCCGTCGACTCGGAGAAAAAATGAATCGTGGGGTACATCAGCTTTGTAGTCGATCCCCTACTCGATGGGTGTGCACGCCGCCCACGCGTCTCGGAGCTTTGAGGAGGAAGAAGAGGAGCTTTCCAGGAGCAGGAGGAGGAAGAACAGGAGCAGGAGGACGAGGAGGAGGATCAGGAGGACGAAAAGGATGAGGAGGAGGAGGAGGAGCAGGAGGAGGAGGAAGAGGAGGAGCAGGCGTAGCAGCAAGAGCAGGAGGAGGATCAGTGTAACTCCTAGAATCATCAACGATTTTGAACAGAAAAGACAAAACTCCCTCCGAGCTCCCTCTTCATAGGCCCCTGCGAGGGTTCATGTCCACTGCTGGGACTGCCTCGTTGGGAGACAGCCGTTTGAAGACCCTGAAACACGCCCAAACACCATACCACGGATCAACTTGACTATTGCGTCTTGACGATCCTGAATCGTGCCCACAGCACCGTGCCTGGGACTTCAACACCGCGAATCCACACATCTGCTGCGCCCTCACAATCCGCAACCCTTCCAAAACACAATTTCTGGAACGTTGGCCATAGGAACTGAAGCTCGTGCAAATATGTGAGGCGAATGTGCGCGGCGCTGAGGCGAATGCCACCCACATGCTTGAGGTGAAGTTCTTGTAACTGTTAAGACGAGTGTGCGCGGCGCTGACACGAGAACCACACGTTGAAAACCAGCCGTCCTCAATCCTTGACAATGCTGCAAAAATTTAAAACGCAAGTGCGCGGCGCCAAGGCGAGAGCCGCATTTTGAAAAATCGGCCTTTGAACATGTGCGCGGCGCTGGGGCGAGAGCCACAAGCTGAAAACCACCCGCCCTCAATGTGTGAAACGGTTGCCGATGGTCAAACTTCGGGGCCTACTCAGGTCCAACGAACGGCACGCCCTTTCGACAGGCCTCGGGGTGCGACGGGGAGGGGGAGGAGGAGGAGGAGGAGGAGGAGAAGGAGGAGGAGGAGGAGGAGGAGGAGGAGGAGGAGGAGGAGGAGGGGGAGGAGGAGGGGGAGGAGGAGGAGGAGGAGGGAGAGAAGGAGGAGGAGGAGGAGGAGGAGGAGGAGGAGGAGGAGGAGGAGGAGGAGGTGAGGAGGGGGAGGAGGAGGAGGGGGAGGAGGAGGAGGAGGAGGAGCCCCCCCCCCCCGAGACCTCCCACGCCGCCGCCAGCGGGGACGCGCGGCGCGGGGGCAGGCACCGCACCTGCCCAGGGGCGCGAAGCGCGCGCGGGGGGGGGCAGTCGGACCCAGGCAGGCACAGCATCCCTCCAGAACTGCTTGCGTCGGCGACCGTCGGCGGCGAGGCAAGGGAAGGCTGCGCTAGCGGAGAGGCCCAAACGGGGATGCCGATATAGCGAAATAGTGCTACCATGCACGAGGGGGAAGGGGGGTGTGGGCGCGGCCGGGAGGAGGAGGCGGGGGATGCGAACCGCTCTGCTGGCCAAGACAAACAAGACATCCACGGGTATAAGGAAGCTGGCCAAAGGGGAAGGTGGACGTTCCGTCAAAGTGGAAGTGGCCAGGGTCGGGAGAATCAGCAGGGGCTGCGACTAGCACAAGGAAGTTGGGATGAGGTCGCCAGGGCTGGACAACTTGAAGGAAAACTGGCCAGAGGTGCACACAGCGGAAGGGCTTTCCCCAGCCACTCTTGTCAGCCTCCCTGTACCCTCCCCGGGGTGCACACGAGCGCCAAACAAACCTTTTGCGTCGGCGGCTCGGCAGGGGCCGTCTGCGCTGGCGATGGGATGCCGAAACGGGGATGCCGCTAGAGCGACTTGTGCCACCACGCAGGACGAGGAGCGGGGGGAGGGCGCGGCCGAAAGAGGGCCGGACGGACCGTCCAACGCCCAACAAGCACGAAGAGCGCGAGGGTGCCCTCCCCGGACCGACCACGATTACACCTCTGTCCGACTGCGGGGTGGGGAGGCACAGGCCGACCCTCCAGGAACTGATCTCTCGTCGCAGCGCGGCAGAGGCGAGCGCCCGCGCGTTCTGGCAGCCATGGGGCGCTCGGCACACGAACTGTAGGTATGCCCTCCTACAGGTGGATTTTGGACGAACATTTACAAATAGTAAAGACGATTCACACATTGCCAAACACAGAACAAATCGTCCCCAGACTATTTTGCAACATTTGAATCAATACTCCTCCTGTAGAAGGACAGGCCCGGCTTGACGCTAACTGTCCAACTGCACGACGAAGAACAAGCCGACCCCCCCCGGGACACGGAACAGCGGCACCGCCACCACCAGGGAACAGCAGCAGGAAGAGCCAGGGACATCCCCCTGGTGGTGCGGTACCCCCCCTAGTTCGAGACTTCCCCGAACCTCAGCTCGGGGAGACATCGCGGACCCCCTCGCTGGAGGTGGCCTCCCCTGATGGGCGTGTCTTCCGCCACCACCACCATAAGTTGGCGGGGGGGGTCCTCTTCCTCCTCCTCCTCCTCCTCCTTCTCTTCGTCCTCCTCCTCCTTCCCCCTCCAACTTATGGTGGTGGTGGTAGAAAACAGGCTCATCATCCCTGCTGGCGGTGGTGTCGCTTCTCCTTCCCCGACGCTCCTCTCGCGGAGATGTAGCTCTGGTTCTTGGGACTGGGGGGCTGGCACGACGGGGCCGTCAAGAAAATTATATTTGGCGCGAGCTCCAGGTGCAAACAACTCCCGAAATCTGGACAGTCAAATCCAGGTCCAGGACGGACCCGTCACAAAGCGTCGGCAAGCCCGGGTTCCGGCGCACTCGAGTCTGACGTTGCCCCGATCCTGTCGTTGCGAGGGCCACTTCTTTGGTCAACCACAAGGGCGATCGCCAAAGC